GGGTACCCTAAATATTAGGTGCCGTACTATATTAGGGACCCCAAAAAAGGACCATAATTTTTCACAACCACCCACAGGTCCTCTGAACAATACAGTCCCCGATGCTCTCGAACACCCGAAGGCCCGAAATCCTGCAACACAGTGTGGCAAACCCGCAGTCCGCAGTCCATCCAGCAACAAAATCCTGGACCTTCTGGAAAAACGCGTGAATTCATCGGGAGTTTCAGAAAACCAAAGACCGAACTTCACAGCAAAGTCCTTGACTTAAAGCAACCCTAGCCTAACAAAAGCTCTTAGCTGAAGAAGAGTAGCCATCGTTTCAAGGGAAGTCTAGTTCATGGTTGGGATAGGATTAGAACTTAAGTTTTCTATTCCTTATTGGGTTTAAGTTCCCATAAAAATGAGAAAAAAAAAGGTACCCAACTATGACAAAGAAGTCCCTTCTTTCCCCCCCGTTTCAAGGAACCCTTCGGGTTTCCCGAAGCCCCCAAGTGTGCGGACTCGCCGTGGGGCCGCTCCGGGTCTCTATGCGGGCTATCGCAGACACCTATGCGAGTTCGCCGCGAGACCCTGGCTTGGTAGGGTTGTAGGGTTTAAGGGATCCATCCCCGATGAAAACAGCAAACCCGAAATCCTGACCGACATAAATACAAGAACCTGCAATGAGTGCTGGGGCACGCTTTGTTACTTCTATTGGAATCATCATTGCTGTGGCTGCCATCCTTCCATACCAGCATCTTCAATTCAAGCACGCCGCATTGAAGAACCCTACTTGGAGGGTCGGGTGACTTAGTAAGTAGGTAGTAAGTAGACTTACAAGTGCCTTAAAAGGGACCCTAATGGTTGTTATGATACTTATAAGTTACTTCGTCCCGCGACCCTCCAAGTAACCCTAAACCCCAACCAGGCCCCAGACTCTGCAGCCTAAAGCACGGGAGTCGCAACGCGACGATCAGCGCAGTCGGAGGATGTGGCAATGCCAGAAGCAGGTCCACTGGTTACCTCAGGAAGAAGCTGCGTGAGTATGTGTGGGCGCATGAATATACACATATGTCTACGCACACATGCATATATATATATATACAGATAGATAGATAGATAGATAGATAGATAGATAAACAGAAATTATACATACAGTTCTCTACCCACATAGATGCCCTATATTCGGGCATTAATACGTGGAAGAGGCTTTTGGGTACAGTGCATATGCATTATCGGTAGTTATATTCAAGCCCTCATATAATGCATATTCAATCTAGTTGTTCATTCGTTGGCTATTTCTTGTTCCCGTAACTAGCGGATATTGTAACCGACAACTTGGCTGACTAAGACAAGAGGAGCATCAGCACTGGGGAGCAAATGTCCTGTAACTCTCAATATTTACATGCCCTGTTCCAGGGCTGTGCCCTCTAATGCAGGCACCATCACCGACTGTGGTATAACGTAACACTACTCTCTTCTAACAGCTCTTCCGATCCCTATAACGGCATTTGTGAATGGTTTAGGTGGGCTTGAGTTTTTATAAGGGATTAGCCATATCCCTTCAGCCAGAAACCAAGGCCCTCCCCAGAAATTGAGCAGTACTTCGAGTTGACCCTGCAATATAATCGCTGTGTTCTGGCTAGGGTAGGATGTCATGTGACCCAAAGCAAGAAACACAGTTTAAGGCTCTAGGACTCCATGCAAGCCCAGAAACGGCGGCTAGCATGTCGGAGATATCTGCAGAGCAGAGCGCCTGGTTCGCACCCAGGTCGCAATCCGACACGGCCAGTGCGGTAAACTGGGCAACCCAAGCGAAGGAAGAAATTACATTCATGATGTCGATGGCGCAGGCTTTGGGATCAGGGCAATCAACGGCAGCCGTGCGGATTTGAAGGATGGCACGGACGATGTAGGCGGCTGAGTTGCTGACATCAGACACACACTGGGCGATGTCGAAGCCTTCGTCGCGTTTGGCATCCCGTGACCCCTTTAAGACCTCGGGCCCTGCCCCGGCCGGTAAGAATTGCTTCCATGCCCTTGCCCTGGTCAAAGTGCTAGTGGTGTTTTGGCTGCAATCCGCCCTCACGGCAGCGCTGGCGCTGGCGATCTCGCCAAAGTCGGCCACTAGTGAGGCGAAGTCCGCGGCGCACAAGGCCCCGGAGTTCACGGCATGCCCACAGGCATTGGCCGAGGAGGCGATATACGAGGCGATCCAGCTGAGAGAAGTGATAAACCCAGCCACGCTGGCGGCACAGCCCGAGGGAAGGTCGTCTGGGCACCTCAGGCCTTTGTAACTTATGGACTTGTAGAGGAAGACAACAGCCTGATCCAGGTAGGCGACAGTCTGGACTACATCGATGACACATTCCTAGATCATGGTTGGGATAGGAGTAGAAATTCATATTTCTATTCCTTTTGGGGTTTAAAAAATGTATATAAGTCCCCATAAAAATGAACAATGTTACCCAACTATGACATAGATTCTGTCCGGGTCCATGGCAGCTCCTCTGGTGAGTTGTAGAAGAGGTCTGTAAGCTGGCGCACACTGGTCTCATGCAGGCTCTCTGCTTTCAGGATCACCTGCCTGGGTTGTAGTTTCGGGGCCCTTCGAAGTATTTATGCATAGGTACCTAAAAAGGAACCGCAATTACGGGAACTTAAAAGGTTTCCCAAAGTGCCACCTAGCTTCTCCATGCCCGGAAGCTCCTTCCAACTGGAAGTGGCAGCCTCGTCACTCACCATCCGTCTCTGCGAAGAGAAGCAGGAGGAACCGCAAAAAGCAGTCTTCACAAACAAGCCCAGGAGGAGGAGAGACATCCTGGGTTCATGAAGCTATCTTAGTCCAGGAAGGATACCGTTCTCCATCTATGGAATCCATCTACCTATCTATCGATTCATCTAACTCTCTGTCCGTATATCATCAACCTATCTATATAGCTGACTCGTCGGTCCACGTATATCCCGATCACGGCCAAGGAAAGATTCACGATGCTTGCTCACCACCTAGCGAGCCGAAGTCAAGTAAGCACCCGGATCTTACCTACGATAACCAGGACCCTAAGGAACCTCCCTTTTTAGGGTTCTCTAATATGGTTTCTTTTTATAAGTCCTTTAAAAGGTAGCTTACGCGGGGTTAAGGAAAGCCAAGTATCCCGATAGCAGAGCGCCAGAGGGAAGGCAAGTTGCGAAGATTTCTGCTGGCGGGGTCGTAGCTCAGTTCCGACATTGTGCAGCCCCAAGGTCTGGATTGCTCTATACTGAACTTAGAACCCTAGCGAAAATTGTAATTTTGGCTGTTTCTTAGGGATTATATTAACCAAAAAAATTCTAAGTACCCCTAAGTACTCTTTCAGTTGGGAGGGTTCTTTCGGGTTCAGTGCTGCAGGGTTGAGGGTTCAAGGTTGAGGAGGTTAGGGTGTGGGGCTTTCGCCTCCTTTGATGGCGGGGCCCAAAATCCTAAGCCCTAGACCGCCTAGACCTGCCTCAAGCAACTCTTTACTCGGCAACTACGTAGAATCCACAAAAAATACCGGATCCTGGTAGCTTCAGGTATACTTTCGCCAGTCTCCCAGACCTGTTCGCTCCTAACTGCTGCTGATCGAAACTTTGAGCCGCGATGTGACGAGCCTCGGTATCCTGAACGAATCAACCATGTTCAGACTTGCTGCCATGGACCCTCTGTATAAACCCTACACACCTGTCGCATAGCAGAGCATGGTATTGCATCGTGCACCTAATTTAGTAAAGCACTGCCTAGGTATCTGGGATGTTCAACTCTTCAGCTGTCATTCCTCTAGGACTAGCCCGAAACTCAACACGCTGAGCCGTTCGCAATGAACCCGAATGCGGATTTTGGCGCTCCCTATTTCGACTTTACAAACAAACTCAAGAGTATATGTGTAGGTAGAACCTAAACAGAACCCCCCATGCAAAGGTCAGGACAAGGAGTATCCATTATCAACGTAGCGTCGTCCCTGTACAGCTCTACTACAATATTCCCCCGTGCAGCTGCACACTATCCCCCAGAACCCTACGCTCATGATTCTGGTAACCCTAAACCCTAAGCCCTAAAGTATAGCACTTGCGGGGTTTACGGGTTTAGATCCTTGAGGGGGTTTCGGTGTAAGACATGTAGCAGCTCAAAGGCTAATGTAATTATGGGTATTGTGGATTCTCACCCAAAGGGTTAAGTCCCGACGGACCCTAAACCCTAAACCTTAAAACCCTAAGCCCCTAAGATATGGTAGAATCTAGAGTCTCTATGACGGCTGGAAGCTATGGCTTGGCTTGGGCTTGGGGTTTGGATGTAGGGTTTAGGGTTCCGTTAGTTGGATCTACAAGGGCTCCGTTAAAGATCTGTAGGGTTTGAGGGTTTAGGATTTGGGGCTTTTGAGGTTCAAGTTTGGGGTTTAGCTTTGGGTTTCAAACCCTCAAGACTTTTGAACGCAATCCCAGGGCACCAAACTGGAGGAGTGGCCTCACCAGAGTGAGCAGCTCAAGAGAACTCCGGGAATCGAGCCGAAACGAATGCTGGCGAATGCAGCCTTTCAGCTCAAGTTCTGGGAGGATTTGGGCAGCCCGAAAACATTTGCGATCCGAGCGCGCTGAGCAAATCTAATCAAGGCCCGTTGGGGCTTGTCGGGGCAGTGTAGCATGATGCTTGATGTCGGGTGTGGGTTGTATACCCCATGCAGTATAAACGACAATGACCTGGCAAGTTTCCTAGTGGTTCAACGTGGTGTGGTTAGGGCTGGTCAGATCGCATAACATAGGGGCCTTAATATTTAGAACAGGGTTTTGGGGCCCGTTATACTAGGGCCCAGTCTACTATAATTGTAATAAGGCACCCCCCGTAAAGTAGTACAAGGCCCATGACACTCCCACAATGCGCCCAGGCTTTTACAGCGTGGTAGCATGATGTGAGCTGCGGCTTGCATGCACAGCCGGCCTTGTATGACAGGCCTGGAATGCTGAAGAATGAAAGGCCCTAGCCCCTCTTTCAAATCAGCAGTGACACAAAAGCTTCAGCTGTTCACCTCCCGTAGTATAGGCAGTTATTTAGGCCCCTATGTTGTGCTCTACTTGGGTCTGCCGGTGTGGCTCGAGTCTTGGAGATTGGACATCGGGTTCAGGGCTTAGGTTTCCGGGTTTCGAGTTCAGGGTTTGAGGGCTTAGGGTCCATACAGCTGTGGGTTGAGAGGCTTTGGAGTTTTGTGTGCGGGCCGCATCTAATCTACCTGCTGACGACGTTCACGGCTTTTTTGGTGTCGGGTATGCTACAGGTTTATATTTCCAGACACATTTCATTTACACGAGAGAGATGACAACACATTGGGCTCTACTTATGCGAGTGACAGTGCGTATGCTTCAAAAACCACGTCAACGAATTAGCTTAGGCAGGTCTGGCTGGCACTGACCTGGAAGAGTATAGCAGGAAGCGATCCAAAGGACACCCTGAACTTTGCTGCACGACATCCTACCAACACTTCCAACATGAGCTGCAGTTGTGAATTTTGCAAACACATCTGAAACTCTAAATCCTAAACTCAAGACTCAAAACCCGCCCGTGTCGTCTTTGTCCGCAAAGGGTCTGCAGATCGGCGTTCATGACTGGCCCTCAGAATCTGGCTTCTCGCCCTTCTCCTGCTACAGAGAAGAGGCAGAGATTTATTTGGAACAGGGACAGCAGGCAAAAAATGCAAATAATCCATTATTACTAGAGGTGCGCGTATTCATATACAAATTTGTATATATACATATATATATATATATATATATTTATATGTATGTATATATATATATATGTATATATATATATATCACATATATGTATGTACACACAACTCATACGTATGTATACCTGTCTGTCTGTCTGTCTGTCTGTCTGCCTGTCCGTATGTACGTTATGTATGTAGATATGTATGCACCCGTATGTGTATACCCGATGTGTAAGACCAAGGCTTGTTCCTGTTTGATTTCTTCGAGGAAGCGTATTCTCATCTCCGCCGCAACAGCCCCAAAGCCCTAAATGTTAACCCCAGAGGTCCTTCAGGTTAACACTGGAAGACTTCTGGATTCCGGAGTACGTAGCAGGTCGCCATCCTACTCATAGTTTTACTACATAGGACCCCAGACAGTGACCTACAATAAAGGCGACCGGGCATCCAGGGTGAGTCCTTATAGCCTCACTTACACTCGAAGCTGATCCTGCCATGCTTAGAAGAAACCCTTAAAAGAGCCCTTTCAGGATCCCTTTTAGGCCTTAAAGGAACCCTTAAAGGAGCCCCTAAACCCTGCTACACTCCTACCTGCTCTGGGATCCTGCCCTACTCACTACTCAGGGGATGGCTGTAGTACCGAGACCCAAGAAGGTAAATAAACAAAAACCATAAGTTTGGGATATCTGCAATCCCGCTGTTAAGTGAGCGAAGGGAGTAATAAGGATATCCCACCCAAAAGTTGATGGTTCTCGCCGCAAGGCAGAGCAATCAATAAACTGCTCTGTTTCGGGTGTCATTCCCCAGAGTTCCATTTGCCCAAGTAATACTTTCTTGCCGGCTTATAGGGATTCGAATTTTGGCACCGTATGGTCAAGGTATATGTGCATGAGTACATGAAGCCTCAACCCTGAGCTTTGGTCCTCAAGTTTCTCTGAGCTGAGGGTAGACAGCAGTCTCGACACTCAAACTTGTTGGACCATACCGACGCAAACTCGAAGCCCCTAATTAGCTCAACAGCCCTGATGCAGGACCTGCAAGACTTGACTTTATACCCGGAGTATTGAATCGCACTACCCAGTCCCACAGCTTTAAACTCCCGGAAACCTTTGCCCCTTCTATAACCTGCGTTCCTGGCTTGCTGCCACGGCTGTCGATGCAGTTGCGGCCGCATTGGCAGCCGCTTCCTTCGACCGGGTTCAAAGTCAATAAGGGCTTTGGGTTTAGGGTTCAGGCGTCATACAGTTTCAAACGGATACTGTACAGGTCTTTTAAGAGGTATAGCGGAGTGAATCGGTTGTGTCAAGAGCTTTGACACTTAGGCGGAAAAGTTGTGCTATGTTGCTTGCTGGCATGGGACTCAGTGCAGCAGTTACAGGTCGAGGCTAAACTCGGTAAACACCACTCCCTACACCCTAAACACTCTTGAAGGCCTGAACTCTAAATCACACAAGACCCAAACACCCCAAAGCCTAAACCTAAACCCTAACACCCCGAACCCGAAAACCCTAACCCAAAAACACCCTCAAACCCTACCTATAGTCTCCATTGTAGTTCCTTTTTTTGGTTAACCAAAAACTCTATTATAGGATCCTAACCATAAAACTGTGTAACCAAAATAAGGAACTACAATGGAGACTATAGGTACAGCAACCCTTCCCTGATTGTGTATGGCCGCGTGACACCTATCGAGGCATTGGCCCCACCATTTCCACGGGTAAGTAGCCTTTTGGGGGGGACCCGTAAAATACAGTAGAAGCCAAAAAGTTGGAAACCTCATAGCCTCAATCCTTAAGAGTAATGTTCAGGGAATCCCAGCACTATTTGGCCTTAATCCGGTTTCCAACTTTATGGGGTTTACTGTAGACGCCTCACCTGGGCCGCAAAAATATGCAGAACAATCCACAACTACTGCCATTAGTTTACCTAGTTTTGGGGGGTTCGGGTTATCTTCTTGAAGAGTATGGCTTCGTCTTTGGGGTCTATTCGATGTGTAACTATATTTACGGACCCCAGAGGACCCGATTCTAACTAAGGCTCCTACCTGCTGCCAGGCCAGTCGCCGGGAAGAACTTCAGGGGTTCAGGGTTTAGGGCTCCAACTCAGATGCTTCAAACAGCCCAGTGGCAGTCTTAGCAGAGGAACCTGAATAGGAAGCCTGGGGTCTTCATTAGGGTTATTTATATGTCTTAGGGTTTAGGGTTTAGGGTTTAGGGTTAAAAATTCTGGAGTTCGCTCCTCCATTCGTCCTCCTCAGGCTCCATGAGAGGAAAACAAGGCTCTGAGACCCCGCATGACACACCCCGAAACCTGTCATGTAAAGGGCCTTGATAATTAGAATAGGGTTTTGGGGGCCCATTATCCTACAATAAGGAGCCCCCCAAAAATAGTCTTGGTAAATATATAGGCCCCTATAGTAACCCCAAACAGGAAACACTAAGCTCCAAAGCGGGGTCCGCACTTGCACGCTTCGCACATTTTGATTCCACGGGATCCATGCTGATAAGTTTGTGCCGCTCTCTTTGGCCAGCCACCTTTTGGAAAATCATCTGACGACTGCCGCACACCGGAGATGTTCTCAACTTCTCAAAACTGAACATACCGGCCTCTCCGACATGGATAATATCGGGGCCTTAATAATTAGAATAGGGTTTTGGGGCTCATTATACTATACTGACACACCGACAATAAGGAACCCCCACAATAGTATTGGTAATTATTATAACTCCCCTATAGTACTCTCTGTTGTGGATGCTCAGATGGTGGAGCCACGTGGTCCCAACTGGGTACCGGAAGCATGCCAGGCCAATGTTTTAAATTCCCGCACCTTTGACTTCAATCATAATCCCAAAAATCCGAGCATCACTGCAAAGCACACCCAACTGGGTGATTATCAAAATTCGGGTCCCTTCTTTGGGTACCCTAAATATTAGGTGCCGTACTATATAAGGGACCCTAAAAAGGAACCCTAATTTTGATAACCACCCAAATGGGGCCTGATACGTTTCGCTTCTTGGCGGGTAGTTGGGTCTTGCACTTCGGCTCTGTACACCCCAGCCCCGATGTTGCTCTAGGTTGGCCCTTTAAAGCCTCTGAAAAATATTCGTAAATAGGGTCCTACCACCAATAAGGGAAAACATAAAATGTCCCAAAGGCCTACCTAGTGCTAAGTGCCCACAATTCAGGGCTTGGGCTTCGGGATTCTTGCATAAGAGCTAGACAGTTGCGCAACCATAGGTTTCTGGTCTTCAGGCGATAACGATGGGTAGGGTTTAGGGTTTAGGGTTTAGGGTTTAGGGTTTAGGTTTTAGGGTTTAGGGTTTAGGTTTTAGGGTTTAGGGTTTAGGGTTCCCAGGAACCTTAAGCTCTCAATGTCAAACCCAAGACTCTCGACTCCGCACCTCAGAATCTCCCAAACCCTGCACCAGCCAAAGTTTAAGGCTACGGTTGATGATATAAATCCCGCATTACCCATAATAAGGAATATATGGCAATTATGGTATATTCCTTATTATGGGTCATGCAGGATTTATATCGTCAACAGTAGGGTTCATTGTTTCCGATCTAGAATGTGGACCCTATACAATCTATGTTGCGGTCTTGGGTCTTGCGGTTCGCTCGAAAGTCCCCTTCCTTCCGGGTTTCGGGTCCCTTGTGGGACCGCAAGGAAAAGCTTGTCTTTCCGATACGTAAACACCTCTCCACACATCCCCGGCGTTTGGAGCTCTCGACAGAAAGCTTACGGAGGTTGCAATTTGCAACCTCGGCACGACAGGTAGAACGAGGGTGGAGGTTCACTGAAGGACCCGGGGACATAGTACTTAGGCCTACTGACAGCAGCTCCGGGCTGGGATGGAGCAATATCCTTAATGAAAGGGCCTTAATAGTTAGAATAGGCTTTTGGAGCATTTTATACTACATTTCAGGAACCCCAAAATAGTATAGGTAATTATTGAGGCCCCTACAATACTTGCGAAGCACGCTGGTGAAAGATCCACGTGCGGTTGGGCACGACTGACTTGCATGCTTCACGCTGCAGAGCAGCGATAAGGAAAATCCCCCTGGCTTCCGGTCTTGTTGGGGCTTGCACAACTAGTTAATGCTGACATTCTCGTGTGCCTGCATACGTATACTTACACTACACTGCACCGCCCCTCAAATACAAGGATAGTTTGACAGAAGCTTGTGTCTCAAGTTCGCCGAGTCCAGAAGCCAGGAGTTTGGCGTGACACTCAAGGGTGTGCATTGGTACATGATAAATGACAGGGCTGCTAGGGCCATGTTATAGGGTTTAGGGTGTGGGGTTGCAAGGAAGCCTAAACCCCGAACGCCAAACCACGACTGCGACACACTCAGAGCCCTTTGTGAAATTGAAAGGATTGGCGCTCTCAACTCTTCTCCTCGAGGAAATCCTTGGTTGGCAGTTTTGCAAACTCTTCAGGGTTTAGGTGTTAGTGTTCGGGGTTTCGGGTTTAGGGTCGAGGGTCCAAAGCTTTGTTTCTAAAATCTAGGGTGTAGCCTTGAGATTTTGGAGGTTTAGGGTTTGCAGTCTATAGGGTTCTGGGTTCAGGAAAAGTACCGGAGCTGCGAAAACCCCTGCAACTTGCAAGTAGATCTCCGTTATAGATCCGTTACGTAGGCCTAAGAACCCTTAAAGACACCCTTATAGCACCCCTCAACGGACCCCTTGCAGCCCTAAGCTCAAAGCCTTGTTAGAACCCTCCTGAACATGAACATCCTCAAACCCAAACCCCCGAAAAACAAGCCAGCCATCTCAAGAGACCCTATTCCCACCACATGCTAAGAAGAGGATCCCTGAACCCTAAACCCTAAATCCTAAACCCCGAACCCTACAAACCCTAAACCCTAAGACAGAAACTGTCGCGAAGACGGGATTCATCAAGTCATATATGGCTGGGAGAGGTGAGAGAAACAGCGAGATAGATTCGCGTAGCACCTTTCACTGATCTGGGTCCGAACTGCAACTCGAAGATCTAGTTTTAAGCATGACCGTTTATATTATACAGTAGAAGCCAGAAAGTTGGAACATCATTATCCTCATTCCCTTAAGGTAAAGTAGAGGGAATCCTAGCACTAATCATCCTAAGTCCATGTTCCAACTTTCTGGGGTCCACTATAAGCTCGAACTATGGTATGCCTCGTTCCGCCTCGTCCGGGTTCCGGGTTTACGAGTTGCCTGTATTTCCGAAACTACTGTAAGCTTTGTCACAGGGTCACATTCTGGTATGCTCCTGAATGCCTAATTATTGTAAATCCCTTGCCACCTACAGCGAATCCGAGAAAGTTGGAACATGGGATTAGGAGGATTCGTGCTAGAATCCCTTATACTTTACCTTAAGGGCAGGAGGAGAATGATGTTCCAACTTTCTGGCTTCCACAATAAGCTGTCTTATTTAGTCACAGTTCGGCATCTTCGTGCATTTCCTGGTTAGAGCTTTGATTTTCTGAAAGGCGTTCCTACGTACCTGAAGTCCTTGTTGAAACAGACGACCGTAAGGACGACAATACCCCCATGACCTATGTAGTAGTGTGAGTCTGTGACCTAAGGGATGGTCGTTTCGGACCTGATTCCATAGTGGTAGTATATATGGACCCTTAGGGTTAGTGCAGACCCCTGATTGATCAACCGTTGTCTTTAAGGGCCTTGACCTTGGGACCCCTATTGCAATCCTAATTATGCTGCTTACCAACCAGGGGTCTGCATACGTTCCAATGGAACCTGTGTCTATTCCTAGGCAGTAAGGGAAGCAAATTACGTACCGTAAACCCTACCCAAGACCCCTAAATAAGCCAACAAAACCCAATCACCGTGACACTGGCTCCCCAACCAAATGGTAGTTCCCGAAAATAAGGGACCCTTATATAGTACCCTAAAATAGTAGGATCCTTATTACAAGGACCCCAAATAAGGTACCCCTAATTTCGGAAACTCCCAAATGGGCTTAGGGGGGCCTATGGTTTTGGGCTTGTAGGCTTTACAAGGCTTAACGCTTATGGGGCTTAATGTAGGGGCCTCAACAATTCGAACGGGGTTTTGGGGGGTCCCTTACTATAACTATAACCATGGTATAGTATACCCCCCAAACCTTATTCTAATTATGAAGGCCCCTACATTAAACCCTGAATTAACGTATCCCCTATTGTATCCCTTATAGAACCCCTTTAACGGGACCCTGTTCTAATTACAAGGCCCCTACATTCAACCCTTACACTAGCCCTTATAGTAACGAACCCTTATATAGATGCTTTAAAAGGAACCCTTTAAAGGAACCCCTATTCTAATTATGAAGGCCCCTACAGTAGGGATTCGGGTCTCGTTCTTCAGTGCCGGGCGGCTACGATCGCCTGCGCCGTCTCGGCGGGCTTCCTTGAACTCTCCGGGGAGCCACGAACCCTAAACCAAACCAAAACCCCGAAACCCATATGTATGGGTGCTTCTCAAAATTAGGGTCCCTTTTTGGGTACCCTACATATTAGGTGCCGTATTATATTAAGCCCCCCAAAAGGGACCATAGTTTTGAGAACCACCCATAGGGTTTCGGGTTTAGGGTTACCCTAAACCCTAGAAAAAACCAGCCTTAGCCCTTAAAAATGTCGGGAGGTTGTACTTAAATTGTCGGGAGGTTACAGTTACAGGGACCCTGTTGGGGTTTAAGAGCTTCGGCTTTTTGAAGTAGTCATATGGGTGGTTGTCAAAATTAGGGTCCCTGTTTGGGTCCTTATTATAATGCGGCACCTGGTATTTAGTGTACCCAAAAAGGTGCCATAATTTTGACAACCACCCATATAGCATTCACGTCGGAGGGGCCATGGGTCATGGATGTTGTAGGGGGGCTTTGGGGTTCTTCGGGGTTTAAGGTTTGCGTGTTTAGGATCCAGGGCCTTTAAGTTTGTTTTTTTGAAGTGCATCGGACTTTTGATTACTCGCCAGCACGCCTGGTTCAGGCGTGCACTCAAAAGGAAAGAACATGAAAGACAAAGCTCACTTCACTCCCCTCATTCGTTCACGACCATCATCCTTTGGGTTTAGGGTTTAGGGTCTACCAAAGCCCAAGTGAGAGTTATGCACTCCGCCCCCAAACACACGCCCTTCATCTTCGCCAGGGTGTTCCAGATGATCGAACCCCGAAACACCTAGGCCATAAACCTTACACCCTGAACCCGAAGCCCTAAACCCTATCAATCAAAGACTCACGGAGCCCGGGTTTGCGACACGAGGGGGCTTAAGTACCTACACAGCGGCCCTTGAGGTACGCAGCTTTGGGATTTAGGTTTAGGGGTTTGGGTTTAGTTAGGATTTACCTGTTACTAGTATATGTAGAGAGTATGTTTCCATAGTAGGAACTACTGCGATACAACCTTAATATCGGTACTTAGGTATCATTGGGCTAGTAGGTCTGCTCGAGCGTCTGAAGAGTTTGTAACCATGTCCAGGTGCAGTCCAAAGGTAGTTTTGGTAGAGACCAGACAAAATACTCCAAATGGCCATTAGGGGCCCAATACGTGCTTTTGTCGGAGCTTCTGAGCCTACCGAAACCCCAAACTCAAGTTCTGAACCCCTAACCCCTAAACCCGAAATCCCAAATCCCACACCCTAAACTGCGGCTGAACCTTAAATCCGGTCGATGTTCTAAACTGCCCGCAGTGCGAACAAAAACCGCTAGCTCAAAACAAAAAGGAAACCTAAACTCATAGCGCAGAGGTGCTCGAGGTGGGGCACATGACCGCTGTCCTGGGATTCCGCGTCTCTCTAGTAGTTTACTGACTTGGGGTTTCAGTGTAATGGTTCTACAGCCCGTTTAGGGTTTGTGGTTTAGGGTTTAGGGTTTAGGGTTTAGGGTTTAGGGTTTAGGGTTTAGGGTTTTTGGGGCTAAACCTTCTACGGCTCGATCAAGGCCGTTGTTTGCAGTGTTAGGGTTCAGGGTCGTGGGGTTTTGAAACCTCTTCGTTTACTAGCACCTGTCTAAGGGGTCGGGGAGACCCATGCGACTGTAGAATTTGGTCCCTAAAAACATCCTACTTGGAGGTTCTGGGGTAGTTATAAGTCGGGCTAGAAGTCCCCTAATATGGGTTATAAGTATAGTTACCCTACTTACAACTTTACTTATAACTAACCATGAACCTCCAAGTAGACCCTAAACCCTATTGCCCTATACGGAATCCCTACAGATCCCTTTAAAGGAACCTTAAAGGAACCCCACTTATAAGTAGTTTTGGGGTGTTACGGAGCCCAAGTACTCCGTCGTAATTTAGGCCCGGGAGCGCCTGCCCGAGCCGTCCTACTCTTTTCAAAGCCGTCACGTGTGGATGTTCTGGGAGTTTCCGAAAACAGGGGACCCTAGGGTTCCTTTAAAAGGCTACTATCAGGGTCCTTTCAGGGTTCCTTTAAAGGGCTCTGTAAGGGTTCATGTGGGAGTTTCCGAAAATAGGGGACCCTAATATAGCACCCGTAATAGTAGGACAAGGACCCCAAAAGAAGGTACCCCTCATTTTCGGAAACTCGCATGTTGGCATACCTCTTTAAACCCTGAACCCCAAACCCTACACCGTAGTAGACATGTTGAGATTGATGTGGGCTGCAAGAACCCAGAGCCTCCAAAACCCCTTAATTAAGGAATATACCTTAAATCATATTAGGGATCCTACTATAGTTTAAGGTATAGTCCTTAATTAAGGGGTTTTGGAGGCTCTGGGAATGCAGGGGCGCGATCCCTGGGCTTCGGGTGTCTATCCTGAACCCCAAATCAAATTGATCACTGCCGGATCGAGAGGGATGTATCTTAGGTACGGCCCCCCATACAGTAAGAGTCCATAATAGGGCTACTATCTAGGTCCTACTATATCTATATTATGAATATTATTCAACTATTACTGAGTGGGGGCCGTACCCAAGATGTATCCTTCAACTCTAAGCCCTGAACACTTGTGGAGCTTCTCTACAAGCCGTCCAGTCGCCGATGTCGAAGATTGAAGCTTTGGGGATTTCAGCATATGCCCCAATATAGGGGCCTCAACAATTAGAATAGGGTTTTGGGGGGTGTATTGTCGTAGAAGTATAATAAGGAACACTTGGGGACAATTTAGTTGCTCAGGCCCCTGTGCGGTGCAGTGGCAGCTCAGGACTACGACTGCGAAGCTTAGGGCTTCGATTAAAAGAGCGAAAGAGAAAAACTGAGAATAGGATTTGGGGGTCCATTAATTATATTATCGTTATCATAAAGTTCAAAATAGTATTGGTAATCATTTAGGCCCCTATAGTAGGCAGGGTAAGTTTTGGATGTCAGCGTTTTATCGCAAGAGGCTGCAGCTGACAATCTTTAGGTATTCGAGGTTTGCTTGGCTGAATGCTAAACACCGCACCGATGTGGTGAATAGAGATTCATAAAGGTTGTGCGAAGCAAACGTGATACATAGAGCCGTAGAGATTGGCCCCTCGAACCAATTGAACACTTGTTGTGATGATTAATGCTTCCCACACCCCAAAACAATATTGTTGATGATCCCATATCATGGCTAGATTAGGATGTTCGGTAGAATACCTTGCATGTAAAGGGGCGATAAGAGGATACTGCTCCCACTTCTTCCCGCCCCCTAGATTAACTGGTAGCTGCCTATTGTCTCCATTGTAGTTCCTTTTTTGGTTAACCAAAATCTCTATTATAGGGTCCTAACCATAAAACTGCTTAACCAAACAAAGAACTACAATGGAGACCATAGCTGCAACCCAGCATCTCGGATCCACTCCATCTTCACCGGACATCGCAACTCCTGGAACAGCAGGGCGATGCTTTGCGGGTTCGCATTAGCCACTTGCCAGTTTCCCACAGGGTCCATATTACACCACCATTATGGAATTAGGCATCCAAAAGACCATACAAATTATGGCTTTGGGGACCTGATTCCAAAGTTCTAGTATAAATGGACCCGCTTGGTTTGCCTATTCCCTTCAAAGACAACCGGCTGAATTTGATGACGCGTCGTTGTAACACGATGAAGAACCAAGAGCAAAACTCTGCAAAGCACACCACCAGCACCACCAGCACCACCAGCAGCACCACCGCCGCCGCCACCACCACCGTCACCACCACCACCACCACCACCACCACCACCACCACCACCACCACCACCACCACCAAAAGCAGCTATGCTACACCCCGGTAGATCAGGAGGCAACTTAACTCCGCAGCTTCACTGTCAAAAAAACATCCGCACATCACCTGACACCTGTGGCAGACGGGAAATGCAATACATGCGATGCCCCCCGAACCACGTCTCCTCCATGAAGCGTGGTACCTGCTCGTCGACGTTCAGGATCTCCTCGGATCAGCACCAGACGCCACAACAAGCGAAAAGGGCCACATCGCGACCGTCATGCTTCTCCTCCGAAACCAACCTGAGCCTCCCACTACCAGCACTAAGATTGCAGCTACAACAGCAAGTGCGTACTGCGATGAAGGCGCCCAGTGCTGCCACAATCGCTGCTACTCTGACCACTGAAAGCAACACGGTGATGGTCACAAGGACATCAATCATGCGAGTACTCGCAAACGTCAGACCAACAACCCTATGAGTCACCATCCACAGCCATATTATGCCGAACCGAAATCACGATCCTCGCAAGAACCAGAATCAGAACGACTTGCAATAGTCATACTGCTGACGCACAAACAAAAAAGAAAACTTATCAGCTACTTCATGCCGTTGAAAGACATTGCGGCAGCGCTGGAGTTTGAGATCTAAACTGTCAAGCGCAAACTCCTCTTCAGTACGAGGTAGGTCGGGTGTCTCAGTAGCGAAAGGAAGTAATCAGGCTGACATTTCGACATTTGAAGGCGCCGAACGTTCAAACCCATCTAAGCCCTACTCCACCTTCGGCTGCTGTGCTACCATACCGCTGCAGCAGCCTTTATAAACGAAACCCTTCTTTAAAGGAAGCCTTTAAGCAACCCTTAAAGGAACCCTAGATGACCCTTAAACCCTTAGGGGGAAGCCCTTAAAGGAACCTTAAAGAAACCCCTAAACACGTAACGGCACCCTTTCGAGAACTCTCACAGCAAGCCTCAAGGAAACTTTAAACCTCTTGAAGAACTCTCAAGAATCCTCAAACCCTGAAAGGAACCCCAAGGAACCCTTAAACCCTTACTACTATAGGGTCATACCCTACACCTTTTTTTAGGGTAGCTACGTTTTCTACTTTCTACATAACAGATCCCAACCATAAAACGATGTAATTACCCTAAGAAACAGGTGGGGTATGACGGTATGACCCTTACTAGGATGCCCACTGACCTGGGAACAAAAAGGGGTCCCTTTTGGGTATTGGGTAGCTTTATAACGAACCCAGGACTACAACAAGGGAATAAGGGTACTACTGGGCATCCTAGCTTAAGTTATATTAGGACCTTAGTAATATAGCCCTATGCTGGACTCTTGCTGTATGGGGGCAGTCCCTAAGGTATGACTTAGAACGGGCCCCCACCCTGTAACAGTGACTAGAAGGATGATATTCAGGCCCTATTGTATTCCTATTATACCACTATTACAGGGTGGTGGCCCTTTCTAAGGTATGACACTCAAGTTGGAGGAAAGCGAGTTTGAGTCGAGGGACATCCTTCTCTCCCCAGAGCCTCGGACATCTCCGAGGAAGTCGAGAAATTAGGGTTTAGGGGTTTAGGGTTTAGCGGTTTAGGGTATAGGGTTTAATTAAGGGTTTAGGGGTTTAGAGGTTTAGGGTTTAAGGTTTAGGGTTTAGGGGTTCAGGGGTTAGGGGTTTAAGGGGTTTGTTTAGGCTTTGCGGCTTTGCGTGTTGGCCTAGTTGTCGGGTAGGGAACTAAAGGTTAACCTGTTTGGACATATAGGGATTATATAGGGGCTAACTACCCGAAAAAGGTTGAAGGTTCCCACTCTACTACTAGGTTGGGGTTTAAGGGTTGAGGTCTTAGGAATTAGGGCTTCAGGGTCTTGGGGTCTTCGGGCTTTACGGTCTGGACGCCCCGGGTGGACACCAACAAACCTTCTAGCGACCAGTGACTTGGGTCGCGAGCACGAAGGGGCAACAACAACAACAAGAAACACTACAGCCCTCCAAACTCACTGAAAACAACTATAAACCCCAGACCCGTCAAAATCATAGTCTAGGGGCCATCATGGCTGGAATATAGGGCTTTGATGCTCACTATGTTCGGGTTACATAGGGCCTACAGTTACTGGGATACTCGAACTGACTATTCAGACATGTATACCCAGAGGCCCCATAGTAGTTCCTTTCCGGGATTACCTTACAGGATTCTATATATGAGCCCCAAAAAAGGAACTACTTTAGGGCCTCTGGGTAGTAGTTATCTAAACCACCCACAAGCCGACCCTAAACCACAAGTTTCCAACCCCCGAAGCCGAAATCCGTAGATGCACGCGTCTGAGTCGGAGACATGAGAGTCGGTGCGTGAACCTGCGACACCTGAGAGTGCCAGAGAACGAGGATATATGATGCAGCAACCCTGCTGGTTCGAATAGCTTTTGGGATTTCATCATGTTTACAGTGGATCCCAGAAAGTTGGAACATGGACATGGACTAAGGATAATTGGTGCTAGCTAGACTTTACCTTGGCATGAGGAGAATGACGTTCAAACTTTCTGGCTTCTACCGTACATAGAGACGATAGCGAGGACACTTTCCGACCTCGACATTCCCTTGTTTGGGTTAGTCCTTACATGAAGGAGCCTCTCACTTGTATGGGGTTATAAATTCTAGATGACTCCCATCTCAGTTCAGGGGCTATAGCCATAGGCCCCATAGTAGCTCCATCTTGGAATTACCTTATAGGATTCTAAATATGAACCCCAAAAAGGAAACTATGGGGCCAATGGGTGGCTTACTGACCTTTGTATTTATCTCAACTATGAGACGAGCGTTCATTTTAGGGTTCTAAAAATGTTACAAAACAGGTTTCGCAGCCATGAGTCCTTTTGCAGATTTGGGTTTGCGAAACGGGCTCGCGCACAGGGGGAAATGATACAAACAGTCAGCGCTGAGAGATCTCGATGGTCGCGTTGAACCCAAAACGCCCGAAAAAGCAAAGATCACACCTGGAAGTCAGAGAATGACACAAAACCCCTGCATTTTCTGCAAGCTCTAACCCTAAACCCTAAACCCTAAACCCTAAACCCTAAACCCTAAACCCTAAACCCTAAACCCTAAACCCTAAACCGTCAGGATCGGAATTGCAAACCTGGCACCTCACAAGGCTGAGCTCTCCAACTTCCACGAAACCCTACACAGAGTGACACCCTGTAAGTCCCAAAGCAGTACGTGCATAAATCACCACGACTCTAAGGCTCTAGAATGTCGTGGTACTTTTCTACAGCTACACCCCGAAGTCACATTCAAATTATTACGGCACCCTTACTGAACCTGCATAGCAAGCCATAAAAACGTAACCCTTCTAGAACCCTTTAGATGAAAACTTGTTCAAGTCATACCTATAGTCTCCATTGTAGTTCCTTTTTGGGGTTACCTTATAGGATCCTTGATACATACTGTACTTGGTTAAACCACAAAAAGGAACTACAATGGAGACTATAGGTAATATCATGGAAGAGGAGCCAAGGGCGACAATGTGTAGCCACCAGAGTTGAGGTAGTTCAGACTGGCCTGTTTACCCAGAGGCCCCAAAGTAGTTCCTTTTTGGGATTACCTTATAGGATTCTATATATGAACCCCAAAAAGGAACTACTTGGGGGCCTTTGGGTAGGGTTATCGGGTTATGGGGTGCAGGAAGGTGGCTTGAGGACTTTCCACTTGTGATGTCGCATGGTGGTCTTGCGTACGATAGCGGAGGAATCGCTCGAGTTTTTGCTCTCGAAACTTAAACCGGTTTAGGGTCCAGGTCAAATCATAGCTTTAGGCCGCCAGGCCCCCAATCGAAAACAACTTCAAATGCGCACGTCTAGATTTAGGATTGCCCTTAGCCCAAAAACCATCAACCCAAAACCCCAAATCCATATCCAGGGTTTAGCGTTTAAGATTTTGGGGTCTTGGGCAGGAGTCCGCAGGAGTCCTTGTCTGCATTCATGTGCTGATCGAACGCTGGATCAAAACATTAGATGAACAAAACAGCTAAATGTTCGAACAATCCCCAGCTGCGGATGCGGTGCTCTTGTTCCCTAAGCCCCAAACCCCGAAACCCCGAAACCCTAAACCCCTAAACCCTTGAGTAACCCGAACTCGAAAATGTCAAGCATGCGCTGTAGGTCTCCTGAGTTCGTAGAGGTGGGAGCTTTTGGGGATTTAGCGGCTTAAGTGGTGGGCTCTAGGGTTCATAACATCTCCCATAGACCCGTATTAACAAATCTCGTAAAACCCTTGTGTCGCGCCTTCAAACTTAGATGGGTGTAATCTAAAAAGGCCTTGGAATATGTATCTTGCCTGCGAAGCATCTCCTTGATAGTGGCGGCGGGAATTACTTGTCATGTTGTTCAGCTCTGATATGTCATTCACACCTAAATCTGTACCCCTTTTGGGAGTGTAACTTGTAGCTAGCCCAAAGAGGTACTAGGATCCCAAAGTCCTTGAAGCCTTGGATCGCAAGAGCTATCCCTATTCCTGCGTTCATGTGTCCTCGTTAAGGTTTTGAACAGGTTACGTTCTTGATATACATGGCGGGCGTGAATAGTCAGAACAAGGTTCCGGGGGTAGTTAAGTATAATTACTGTAACAAACTATCCAGACCTCCATTCCAAACCCTAAACCCTGAACCCTGAACCCCATTGTGTCAAAAGACTGTCTGGTTCTTAGTAGGGCATGGGGGAATGGATTATGGAGACTATTATTGGGGATGATGTACATAGGGACTACTGAGAGATCCATTCCCCCATTCCCTCCCAGAGACTCCAATATCCCTTAATTAAGGAATATTCCTTAAATTATAGTAAGGATCCCTAATATGATTTAAAGTATATTCCTTAATTAAGGGATATCGGAGTCTCTGGGCTACCAAGCACCAGACAGAAGAATCTCAGGGTCTCTTCCGTCGCCGGTCCGTCGCCTCTTCCCAGCCCTCCACGTCGACGTGTAAGCGCCCAATCCGGACTGCGTCATCTGTGGCATACGACTCCTTTGCAGGGCTTCGGGATACTGGGTCTTGCTTTGTTGCTTAAGCTTCTTTATGATGTCTGCCAACATCCATCAGGGTACTGGGTCTAGGCTTTGGAGCTTCGGGTTTGAGATTTTGGGTCAGGCTTCAGGGTTTCAGGGTCAGGTTTCATGTAGCTTACCCGTAGGCTCCATAGTAATTCCTTTTGGGGATTACCTTATAGGATTCTGAATATGAACCCCGAAAAGGAACTACTTTGGAGCCTACTTTGGAGCCTCTGGGTAAATACAAAGATGCAAGCGCATTGAGAATCCTTGTCGAAGTAACCCATCTGGTTGGCCATCCAGCGCAGAGGCCACGAGCCCAGCCTCAGAAAGTCTGGACGTTCGACAGCTTTAGGAGCTTATGGAAGTTCGCACAAGTCACACCAGCCATAGCCATGGCTGCTTAATTGCAAGGAAACCATAAACCCTGTAGCATATGGGAGCTTCCAAAAATAGGGTACCCTAATATAGTACCCTATATAGTCGGATCCTTATGATAAGGACCCCGAAACAAGGTACCCCTCATTTTCGGAAACCCCCATATGGCATTTCGTGCGGAGGTTGGGTCCTCAGGAACATAGCTCACGGCCTGCCCCCACCCCCTCGCCGGGCTGTGGGGATCTTCATAGTTAGAGTAGGCCGGGTATGCTCGTACCAGGGCGCCCTAAGGAATGGTAGTGCTTGTCACTCAGTCTCCCTATGTCGCAATCAAACCATTATCTTCACTCCAAGTGGCACTTTAATGCCAATGCCTCCAAGCGGGCCCACCTGTGCAAAAGATAACTTTTTGTAAGGTTCTTCGCTAGGTTCCCCAACTTGCCATACTAAGTAAGGGCTGCCCATGTTTGCGCCCCTCGGTGTCGTTTTGGCGCACTCCTACTCTTGGCTTTGAATAAGGGAACCCAGCAGGAAACAGAGATACACAGGAACGTGGTCACATGCTTGTGTCATTATCTTATCTCTCGTTGGTCCAGCTGTTCCTCCGCCCTCTACCTGCATATACATATATATATATATGTATATGTATGTTCTAATATATTATAACCAGATGTGTATGTATATATAAATACATCCATAAATAAACATGTGTGTGTATATATATATATATATTCACGTATAGCCATGCACATGTGTTAAAAGATGTATCACTAACCGTGAGGACTTGTCTACAGAGTTGCAGGGATTGCGGATGTAAGGCTGTCTAAGTTATTCAGCGTCGACAGAACTTACCCTTCACGAAGATAATCCACAGCAGAGCTTTCGAGTTTCGTTGTCATTCGTTCAATTCGGGGCTAGACAGTGCAATCCATCGGGCTTGAAAACTGTACGGTCTTGCGGGTATACATGGACCATACATCCCGACCCGAAGCCGGATCCTGACCCCAAGCCCTAAGCCGCTCCAAACGGCCCAAAAACGCATGACCATTGGGGCCCCACAGCCCGACTCTGTAAGCCTTATGAAGGTACCCAATACCAAAAAGGGAGCCCTGGATAATTCCTAGGTTGCTGGGCATCCTAGAAAAAGAGGGACAGCTTCTTTTTTCTCAGTTTCCTTTTATAGTAGAAGCGCAAAAGTTGGAAACCCAATAGCCTCAATCCTTGAGAGTAATGTATAGGGAATACAAGCACTATTTGGCCTTCATCCGGTTTCCAACTTTTTGGGGTTTGCATTGGCCCAAAGAGTCCAAGTACCAATATTGTAAGCTCCTAGCAGATATTTGGGCCCCAAGTATTTTCTATACTGTTACTTGGATCCTTTGGGTAGAGCCGTAAAGTATCCCACATACCTAATTACATGAACTACCTGCCTAAACCACGATCGTAATTCCTGCTATGGAAACCCTCCATTCTACTATATATTGATACTTAGGACCCTTAAACCCTAAACCCCTATACTTCCCTTAATGAAACCCTTTAAGGAGCTACTCCGGACCCTTTGGGTGTCATACACCCTTTCGATCGTGGCCTCGGGTGCTCCATCGATGAAGCCCTGCGGATTCCTTTCTGGAGTGCACGGTTTAGGGGGGGGTTTAGGGGTATTAGGGTTTAGGGTTTAGGGTTTAGGATTTAGGGGTATTAGGGAACTTCATGAGTATAGGGCGTTTTGTTGCTTTTACTCGCCCTTGTCCTCCAACAGGGACTCGCCCCTCATGAGTAGGGTATTTGAGGCTCAGGATTTTTACTAGGGTAGCTACACGTTTCCTGGTTAGGTACTCCAAAGCATTATGACTACACGGTTGAGGTTTATATGTCTTCAGCTCCACACCACTCGCCCCAAAAATCTATGCAAACCCTAAACCCCTGCAGCTTCGATCCACATATCCTCCGTACTTCAGTGGCTTTGGAACTGCCAAAATCTCACTAAGCCACCACACCCAGAGACTCCAATACCCCTTGATTAAAGAATATTCCTTAAATCATATTAGGGATCCTTACTATAATTTCAGGAATATTCCTTAATTAAGGGGTATTGGACTCTCTGGGCAAGCCTACCACGCCTGTTGGCGGAAGACCCGAGGAGTCTGCGTATTCGATTTGTATATTCCCCTAAGACTCCATGTAGCCATATAACAGGTACTTAGACCTTAAAGTGGTCCCTAGATGGGCACTTTGAGGCCTAAGTACCTACTATATGGGTACATGGAGCCTTTGGGATTCCTGAACCCGATGAAAATAACCCGTGCACATACAGAGACAAACAGAGCGGTTCAAGTTCGAGTAGTTATCAACAAGCACGAAACTGGGTTCTTGTTACGGTATTTCACTTAAGTTATCATAGGGCAAACCATGTTATTTACTATAGGTCCTTATTATGCTAACTTAGACGAATTTCCTTCAGAAGAACCCAGGAAGTGTGTGGAGATCTCTGCCGGGCGTCATCAGAATCATCTTCTCGACGGCCTCGGACTGAATGAGGAATACTAGTACAAACTACGCAGGCTTCTTTATGGATGCGCACCAACGATTACTAAGCGGCTTTTCCCCAAGTTCGTAAACAGGGATCTACACTAAGTTGAAGCATTCCAGGGTTGATCGAAGTCATGATCTGAGTCTAGAAACGGCTTCGCCGAAAGCTGCCACCAAAAAGACCACCAGAAAGGACGAGGGTTTAGAGTTGGCTGCCCCTCCCACAAACACACGCAGACATGCATAATTAGGGCCCCCAAAAAAGCACACAAGCAAAGATTAAGATACGGATATCCCATATAAACCCCTTATAAAGAAGCCTAATAAGGTAGGGAAATCCCTATCAAATGCTTCTGCTTATGTGCTTTTGGGGTCCCTGACCCTTAACAAGGAATATACGACAATTCCCATATATTCCTTATTATGGGTAATGCAGGATTTATATCATCAACCGTAATTTATAGGGCTTCGGCTTCAGGGTTAGAGTTGTCTTCGGTTTCGGGCGCATCACCCTTCAACCCGGCCTCGGGGTGCGCAACGCAGAAATCCATAGCGATGCCTAGCAGTGCAAGGGTTCACGATTTAGGGTTTACCTTAACCCACCAAACCCTACTTTTTTGTAGGTTCTGAATATAAACCCTAATATGGAATTTATAGGGACCCTACTTTTTTGTAGGTTTTGGTAGGTTAAGGTAGGGTTTAGGGACCGATCCAGATGCAGCTTCCGGGAGTCCGGGAGTTTAAGCAAAGCCTATGGGGGGAGCGGGGGCGGTAGGTGATCAAGTAAAGATTGTGACTTATGAAGTTCGTACAGGACCGAAGCCCGACTCTGTCCCAGACTTCCAGATTGCGGGCACTTACTTTTTCAGCGACAGCGACAACCAGGCAGTCACTACGAAGTTCCGGGTCTCTAAGGGTAATTACTACGGTCCTTTAAGGGTTCCTATATGTCGTAGAACGGTTCGCCGTCCCCGGGGATTTGATGTTTACTATAATGAACGTTTCAGTTAATTTGGGTATAGGGTTCAGGGGCTTAGGGCCTAGGGTTTAGGGTTGAGGAGCTAGCAAATCTTGTGTGTGCACGAAATACAAAGAGTGAGCTAGCAGCGCTAAGCTCGAAGTCCAACGCCCTTTAGGGTTGAGGAGCTAGCAAATCTTGTGTGTGCACGAAATACAAAGAGTGAGCTAGCAGCGCTAAGCTCGAAGTCCAACGCCCTCAAATATCACACCTACAGTATCCCTAACACGTCCTTTGTTTTGTAGGTCTGTTCAACGATGAGAGACTTCTGAGAACCAAGAAGAACACAAACGGAGCCCTTCAAAGGGTTCAGTCCGATGCTACAGCTGCGTTGAGCTGATTGCAGGAGCTAAAACGTGTGTCGGTGCGTATTACTACGAACCTTGAATCTGTCAGGGCCCTACGAAACAAGTAGGTGTTGGCAACTCCAGGTAGATCTAGGATTCAGCATTTACCGGTCAGAGTAATCGAAATGAATCTAAATGCAGTACGATTCCGACATGCCGAACACAAAGGTCTCGACTCAAGACAAAGGGAAAGAACTGATTTGGTTAGCTCACCCACTCGGTTCACGGCAATATGAGCCACAAGTTTGATTTCTTAGCGAGATCCGACTTGTCATCATCGGTTATGAGTTCCAGCGCACGAGAACACAACAAGCGCAGAGTCATTTTGGCCCAAGCCCGCGTTTCAAGACTTACTGTAGAGATTGGCGCGGCCCTCATCACCTTTCGAGACAGTCCGTGCATTCTGTCACGGAATATGTACTACAATTAAACACACTTGCAGTTTTGTATAACAAAAGAAAGAGAGAAACTTCAAAGGAATGTCAGCTGCTTCGGGACGTCAGCTACGACACGGAGGCTACGACTAGTGCGAGGGGGCGTAATGAGTAGAATAGGGATTTGGGCTCCATGTAAACTGTAAATATGCCTGTAGTCTCCATTGTAGTTCCTTTTTTGGTTAACCAAAATCTCTATTATAGGGCCCTAACCATAAAACTGGTCGACCAAAAATAGGAACTACAATGGAGACTACAGGTAGTAGAGTATAAAAGTATAGTAAGGAAGCCTCAGGAAGAATAGTGGTAACCAGTTCGGCTTCGATAATTTTCCCCCAAATCTCGACAGCCCTCCGACCTCCACCAAGCGATCCACCCCCGAGAGCGACTGGACGACGTTGGAGGACCTGGAGGGTGTAGGGTTACCCATAGGCCCCATAATAATTCCTTGTTGGGGATTACCTTATAGGATTCTAAATACGAGCCCCAAAAAGGGAACGAACATGGGGCCTATGGGTAGAGGCTTAGGGTTTTAGAGGTTTAAGAGTCTAGGGGTTTAGGGTTTAGAAGGTTTAGGGGTTAAACAGCCACGGCCGCAACCCTAGGGCTGAGCAACCTTTACCCAAAAAAGGTTAATCTTTTCAATTTTGTGGGAGTTTCCGAATATAAAAGGGTCCCTCATATAGTGCCCTAAATAGTACGATGCTTCTTATAAGGACCCCAGAATACGGCACCCCTAATTTTCGGAAACTCCCATGTAGGAAAAGGGGCGCCTACTTAGCTACTAAGAGACAGAAATAAGAAGCAACAGCGCTCGCATCTGCGAGGCTTAAAAAGCAGGCTTTGACAGACGTGCTCGAGGTAGAGTATAGGGTGTCAGGGCCTTGGTGTTAAGGGGTTCAAGCACGACTTTCACAGCCCAAGCTCGCAATCCCAAGCAAACAAACCCCTAAACCCTAAACAGCAGTCCAACAAAGTTGAGGCCCTTCAGAGTTGCGCCGACCCCTGATCAACCTGTACCAGCTCCAAACTCAAAACCACAACAACTCCTCCCAAACCCTAAACTCAAAACCTTAAACCCTAAAATAAACCCTAAACCTCTAAACTCTATAAACCCTATAAACCCAAAACCTCTAAACCCCCAGAAATACATCGGATCTCTGCGTGGCCTGGTCCCAAAAGGCGAAAATGTGCTCGCCTCAACTGCAAGATGCGGGTTTAGGATTCAGCATGGGTTTAGGTGGTTTCGGTTTAGGGTTTAGGGTTTAGGATTTTTCAGGGGCTTCGGGATGATAAAATCCTGAGTATGAGGCTGCGGCGGTTAAGTTTATGCTGCTGGTGTCGTTGAAGTTGCTGCTTTCGATGCCGGCTCCACATGGTTGGTGTTCGTTGCAAGATGCAGGTGGGCAACATACCCTCCAACAGAGCCTTCGTAAATGCTGCTTACAGCCTCAAGCGGACCTGCTCTTGTGGGTCAATTACCCAGTTCGGCCATTTAATGTTGCCTTTGAGTCGAGGCCAACCCCCTGAACTTCTGAACCCTAAGCTTTTACCCCTTTGAATTGTATAACAACAACAATAACAGTAGTTGTAGTAACTTAAACAATAAAGCACAATCATAACAATGAGACATCATGCCTCCGGGTCTAGACGAGTGGTTTGAAATGCCCTCAGGGCGGCTTTGCAAGTCTGCGTAGTTTCGGGTTTTGGGAACTCTAGGGTTTAGGATTTAGGGTTTTAGGTTCTCTAGGGAACCTAGGACTACAAAAAGTGAATAAGGGTACTACCGGGCATCCTAGAGATCTTGGGCTTACGGAGAAAGAACCTATGCGGGCCTACGAAAAAATCCTAAAAGCTCTGAAGAGGGCCCTGAAGCCCTACAGTAAACCCCATAAAGTTGGAAACCGGATTAAGACGAAATACTGCTGGGATTCCCTGTACATTACTCTTAAGGATTGAGGCTGTTGGGTTTCCAACTTTTGAGCTTCTACTATAAAGCGAAACTGAGAAAAAATAAACTGTCTCCCTTTTGGTCTTGAGACCGAAAGGGGGTCAATATGCTTCTGTAAAGACCTCTGGGCTTGTACAGGGATTGCCTATGGCGGGGGGGGCACCCCTTGGGATTCTACACATAAAGTCGGTTAAGCCAGAAAAAAGAACTACGATGGAGACTGTCGGTGAAGTACATGCACCGAAACGGCTACGAGTTGGGTACTGCCCCCCATACAGTAACAGTCTACAATAGGGCTACTATTAAGGTCCTAATATATCTATGTTATGAATATTATACCGGGTATGTAAGCCAGGAAGTCAAGAGGCGCTTGGCAGCAGGAGAAAAATCCTCCCAGGGAGACTTTACCTCCCTTAGAACCATAACAAAGCCAAATTCCTATTCTTAATATTCTTTTGGAGTTTTATATGAACAAACATCAATAATAACTCCTAAGGAGATTACAGGAGAAGGAATCTGCGCATGGTCTGGTCTCACAGATTGGGCTTGGGGATTTTGAGCCCAGGGGGGGTCGCCGTTTAGGATCTTGGGTTAAGGAGTTCAGGTTGTTCGCTTCATTGTCATGTTTGTAAATTCACCTCTGACGGTAATATGTGTCAGCGGGCTGCTGACATATACGAGTTGTCATGGTTCCAAGATTGTAGGGCTCAAATGATACATCTTGCACAAGCGAAGTCGCATGAGATATGACGCAATTACGCTTCCCTTGTTACTGCCCATGAAAATACTTTTTCTGTCAAGTATGGCAGGGCCAGGCTGTATAATAAGCAGAGGGAGAGATAGAGGGATCTGTCTTACGTATATGTATATATGTATATATATATATATACATACAGACATGTATTTGCATGCATTTGCGTATGTATACGTGTTTACGCTGTATATGTACATATGCATGTGTACACATGTGGACCTGCACACACAGAGATGTATTCACATTACATATAAACATCCACATAGCGTACATACATGCATGCAGCCATCCATCCCATCCATCCATGCATGCATACATATGTGTATGTGTGTATATACATATACATATATGTCTATAATCTCTATACATATATAAGTATCTACACTTATGTGAATATATTTATACACGTAATGTATGTATGTGAATGCGCATATATATATATATATATATATATATATATATATATGCATATGCATATGCATATGCATATTGCGTATGTGTACGTGCATGTGTACGTGTATGTGTGTATGTTGTATGTACATACACATGTGTGTGCATACATACCAAGGCCTGCGCAGTGGCAAAAGCTGGCTCAATAAGGTACGTTGCTAAACCCTACACCCTAAACCCGAAAAGCTCTTGACCTTGACCCAAACTCCCCCTAAACCCTAAACCCTAAGCCCTAACCCAAACGCCTAAACCCTAAACTATCAACCTAAGCCCTAAACCATAAGCCCTATGCCCTAAAACCCCCCAAGTCCTTCACGCCGTCAATGCCCCCGAAGCCCCAGCCGAGGAGGTCCAGCAGGTAAACCTTTCGGACAGCGATCCACAGTGGGGTTTAGTGTTTAGGGTTCCTTTGAGGCTCATGAGGGAAGCAGGGCCTTATATCGTTTCGCAAGTTCCTGTAAGGTTTGGAGGTCTTGTTGGGTGGGTTTGCCGGGCACCTACAGGACAAGTACCTTTGTGATTTATGTAAGGCTTTACACAATTAAAAAGTGCAGCTCCCCGATTGGATTGACGAAAATCCACTAAATTTTTGAATATGCAAGCGGCGCATTCCGGGCACAAGACTCACATCAGGCACATGTAGATATCCGTCGGCCCTAAACCCTAAACTCTGAACCATGGGAAGAGGGTCATGGCTTTGGGCTTTACGGCTTTAGAGTTTTAGGGTTCAGGGTCCCAGTGGTTTGTAAGGTTCAGGGTCAGCGCTTCACGGGTGCAGGGCTGTGGGATGAGCTTAGGGCATCAGGAAGCCCGTAATAGCTCCACACCCGAGGCTCCTACTATAGGGACCTTCTAGTTAGAATAGGTTTGGGGTTTAGGGGTATATGATACTATGACTATAATCGGGAAGGAACCCTATGCTAATTATGAAGGCCTCCTATATTTAGATGTCCTGAGATCTCAAGACCAAGAAAGAGCCTCCATGCCGGCGTCCTCGAGTAGCGGCAAAAGACGCCGAAACCTGCCGCTGGTTGGCAGTGTAGGGAGACAGGGTTTAGGGGTTTAGGGTTTGGGGTTTAGGGGTTTAGGGTTTGGGGCTGTTAGGATCGGGTTTAGATTGTACGGCTTCGGAATGTTCTTGACCACTGAGGAAGCTCAGAAGTTTAGGGTTCGGGAATTTTGAGCTTCGGGTTTGGGGCTTACGGTTTGCTGTGGTGTTGCTCTACAGCACTGGAAGTCATGTAACATGATAAAGCGGCGAAATCATCCAAACCGACTCCTGTTGGTGACTAGGCTGTGCCGCGAAGCCTCGGCATGTGACTGGTTGTCAAAGTTATGGTCCCTTTTTGGGTCCCTATTATAATACGGCACATATTATTTAGTGTAACCCAAACTGGGACCGTAATTTTGACAACTACCCATGTGTCAGCGGATGTTTGCCCTTCGGGCTCAAGAGTTTAGAATACTCTGCACAAGACCCGGAACCTGCACCTTGGAACAACAAAAAACTACAATCACCCGCAATTCCCGAAGCCTCAAGGCTCTCGGCTCTCGGGCGAAAGAACCTACTTGTCGGGTATCATGGGGAACTAAAGATTAACCTTTTTGGTTTTATAGGGGTTATATAGGGACTATACTACCCCAAAAAATTAAAGGTTACCTACTCGACTACTAGGATAAGGACCCCAGAATAAGGTACCCCTAATTTCGGCAACTCCCTTATACAATGCACTATTTAGGGTTTACCTAGAGGCCCCAAAGTAGTTCCTTTTTGGGGTTCATATATAGAATCCTATAAGGTAATCCCAAATAGGAACTACTTTGGGGCCTCTGGGTAGGGTTTAGGGCAACTGCGAGTCAAGCAGCTCCAGCGAGGAAGAGTCGAAGCCGTGAAGTAGCAACAGCGGCCTCAGAGTGCTGGTGGCGGTTTTGTATTGCCTTTGGGTTTAGGATTTTTTGAGGTTCAGGGGTTTTAGGGGTTTCGGGATTTAGGGGTTTAGACATTATGGTTTAAGGGTTTGCGGGTATTACGGGTTTTTCGGCCTTTTTCAGAGAGTTCTGTCTCAAGGGTTTCATGGGATGTTAGTCAGCATTTTGGGGTTGAGAGTTTCTGGCTTGAGCGCTACTGGGTCCAAGGATTGTGGGTTCGCATATGGTGTTAGGCTTTACCGCCAGAGCGTTTAGGGTGGGAAGGTTTACAATGTTTCGGATTCATAGTATATTGATGGAGAATGAGGGCCTGTGGATCAAGCCTAATCCCCAAACCCCCAGTTCAACTACCCCCCGGTCCAGCTGCTACGACCCATCCCCGATTGCAAACCCTTGCTCTAGATCGTAATCATTTTGGGGCTTCTTGTTGTAAGACTGAGGTACTCTTGTCGATCCAAAAAGGAACTCCGTTTTGGAGGAATGCACCGCTTACGAAGCTCCGCAGACCCAAACTTTACTGCAGGCAGGTGGCGTTCGTCCCTCCGCGATTGCTTTCCTGTCCAGGCTACTCGGGGGGCTGCTGCGGTTTGTTTGAGAAACCTAAACCCTCAATGAAGGCCTTACCCTTAGGCTCTAAGGACTCATATTTTAAGGCTTTTGGGCCCAAAGACCATACTATGTAAGGCTTTTGGGCTATTTTGAGCCTTAGGGTTAGACAGAAAGCTGGACTTACAAACGCAGACTTGCAGATGTCAGACTGAGGGTGTAGGATCTAGCGTTTCAATGAAGGTTTCGGGTTTAGGGACTCAGTCCTGGGTTGTTACACGTCCCACAATGCCATATGCATCAGGGGCTGAAACCGGATCCTAGAGTCCTAGAGTCCCTAGAGTTTCAGGGTTTAGGATTTAGGGGGTCTCGTTTAGGGATTTATGGTTTAGGGGTGTAGGGTCTGTGTAGGTTCGATGATTTCAGAAGTCGTGTCACACAATCCCCATCCAGCCTTGCACCAGCAACCCTGAATCCCAAACAAGACCTCAATCGGCTCTTCTTCCCGTGCCTCCGTGCTTCTTCGCTGGGCCCGATGAAGGCTGCGCCGATTGGCCCCTCCGACACCCAGCTGGGCACCTGGTGTTCCCGAAGCCCGGCAAACCCACATATCCTGTGTGAATCGATGACATGAAGGTTTCGGGTATGGGGTTCAAGGGTACATAGATGGCACTTCTGTAGTCCATACCGTGTCTTGTGCTAGGCCTCGTGTTTCCGTTTCTAGACATGAACTTATTTTGCAGGGCGCCTGCGGACCGACTGGGGGTATAGAGGTTGTAAGGAAATCCTTGGCAGAACCTATCGCATTGCGGTTGGGGACAAGCCTTTTTAGACACGACCCCACGACCTAAGGATTGAAGGCCACTAGAACCCCAAAACATGGTTGTTTACTTGAACAACCATCACACCCTTAACCTTCAGCAATCTCAAACCCAGAAAATGCTCGTTCGGTGGGCTTCGGGATTAAGACTCTTGACGCATCTGAAAAATCACACTTCTAAACCTGGTGTGTTTGGGGTCCGCTCGAAGACTTCAAAGTATTTTCCTAAAATTCTCTGAAAATCCTATACGGGACTTCTCTAAATTCAGGAATACCGGCCAGCTCCAACAGGTTCGGTTTCCGTAATTCATCCAGGTACAGGGGTCTTGCAGGGACTAGCATACTCAATCAATATCAAGGGAGCCCAAGGAACCGGTACATTCTTCGGGGGGCTCCTTGGGCCACAGTTTCCAGAGTCAGAGGGGCGAGAAACCTGGAAATGAAAACCGTCGGCGCCCAAGCCTTTCGTCTTCGCTGCTGTAAATTAAATGGTTCTGAAGTCAAGGCAAATCAAATGTTGAAGTGACATGGATCCTGAACCATACCACTGACCACTGCCACATCAGATTTGAACTTCAGGGCTTCAGGGTCCTCTTTTCACGGTTTAGGAATCGTTGAATGTTTTGGATTACAGCCCTGGGGCAAATCAACACTTCAAGAATGGAAAGCCTGGGGTTTCGGGGGTTTCGGGGCTAGTGGAGGCTTGGAATTTAGGGTGTGTCAAACATTGCCGTTGCTGTAAATGCATGAGGAAATTGGCACACCGCTTTGGCAAAAATGCGTTATGGAAACAAAACACTGCCCTGACCCACGAAAATTTCTGCCTTTGCTAAGCCCTAAAGCGGTTATAGGCAAACTTGAAACCCTCTGTTGATTGAGTTCTGTGCCTGAAGCGCGAGACAAGCCTGAGAGACCAAGACCAGTGTTTGACTCATGGAACTTTGTCTGTGAATGTATCCCAGCTTGAAAATCACACTGCGCATCAGAAGGTGCCATTTTCTTTCATCCCAGCCACGAACAAGGCTGTACTGCTGTTCAATTGCAAGTGCAGGGTGTTGCAAGAGGCTGATGCAGATGCAGGCGGAAAGAGCGAGAACTCCGCATGCCTCCATAGTGGTCCACGATTGTAAAGGCAAACGACCAGAATCATGCGCAAGTTCCGCTGGCGTAGGAAATGAATTAACTCAACACTTGCGGGAAGAAGAGACAGGGACATGTGGCTTAGCTGTCAGGAAACACAGTTACTCAATGGTCATGATGTCGGCAACATATGTTTGAACATGAAAAATAAACGTTTCTTTCCCAGCTTGATTCATCTCGCTGTGGAGACGCTAAATCAGAAGTAATGTTGCTCAATATCCGGGATTCTACATTACAAGAAATCCGGAAGGTCTCGGTAGAATCCGTCGAAGGTTTGAGCTAGCCAGGGACCCCTGACACGGTATCCAGAGCGTGGTTGCCCCGTCATAAACTTCCTGTGGTCATGCTACCAAGCGAATTACGCAGTAGATCATGGCTACATCCCCAAAGGGTCAAGTACCAATATAGTAGGCTTTTAGTAGATGTTTTCCCCCAAAAAAGTATGTACTATATGCTGTCGCTTGGACCCTTTGGGATCTACCCTAGACCTTGAACTCTAAGCTCTGCATCCTGATCCCTACTTAAATCCTAAACCCTTAACCCTTGCGGGTCGGGACCCCTGGGTTGATCGCAAGATATTCCCTTAGGCTCCATGTACCCATATAGTAGATACTTAGGCCTTAAAGTAACCATGTAGGGACCCCATTAAGGCCTAAGTATCTACTATATGGGTACGTGGAGCCTTAGGGATTGTGAGGGTGCAGGCTCTTTCCCTAGGCATCTAAGGACTCATATATTAAGGCTTTTGGGCCCAAAGACCATACTATATAAGGCTTTTGGGCTATTTTGATGCCCAGGGTTTGGTTCTGTGAAAAGAAGCCGAAGTTAACGACCCAGCTCCTCCAAAGGATCCAAGTACCCAAACCCTAAGGGTCCAAAGGACCCAATAATAGGGTACTCTAGTTACGGATAGTAGATATATGTAGGTTACATTCGGGAGGGTATATTTGATTATAAGGTAATTGAACCCTTAGGGAAATAATTAGCAGATATTTTGGCCTGAATGTAATCCTACGCAGGCAAGTTGGGGCCAAAGTAGACGCCATTTTGGGTACATCCACCCTTTCGGTCTGTGACAGCTGTGGACTCATGATTTCACGTCTTTGCCCGCAAATCCCTTCCGTGCATTCTGGTCTTTCTCGGACCTAAGGGCAAACTTAAGCCTTAAACCCTAAACCCTAACACCCCAAAACCCTAAACCCGAAACGCTAAACCCTAAAACCCTAAACCCTAAAACCCTAAACCCCAAACCTTAAAGCAGAAGGCCATCTTCAGCCAATGCCGCCTGAGGCAACTCATAGGAAAGACGCAAAAACCAAGGCCAGCCAACTCCGCGTCTTCTGTACAGTAGGGTTTAGGGTTTAGGGTTTAGGGTTTAGGGTTTAGGGTTTAGGGTTTAGGGGTTTAGGGTTTAGGGTTTAGGGTTTAGGGTAGGTTTCTGGGCATATCATACTGTTGATGGACAAATCCTGCATTACTCTGTATAAGGACTATACCATAGTTCCCATAGTTTAGAGTCCTTAGGGTCATGCAGGATTTCGTCCATCAACAGTACAATAATGTTCTGGGGACTACAAGGAAAAGCTATTGCAAGTCATCGTTCGGAGCCCTCTACGACATTGCAATGGCCTGTGCAAGTCTTTTTCATGCCATGAAAATGGCTGGACGGTTGACCCTAAACCCTAAACCCTAAATCCTAAACGAGAGCCTGAGAAATCAACTTCAAGCCTTAACGAAAACCACCCGCAAATAACAAAGGTAAGTTGTTGGATTCAGGCCGAGCTTCGTTGAAGTATGCTTTCAGCTCCAAATCAAGTAGTGGGTGGTTATCAAACTGATGGTCCCTTTTTGGGTGCCCTAAACATTAGGTGCCGTATTATATTAGGAACCCAAAAAGGGACCATAATTTGACAACCACCCTAGTAGGTACTGACCAGGTACTGAAACAAGACCCTTTGTGGCAAGACCTTTCGGTAAACCCGTAGAGTAACCTGTTTGTAAACCTAAGCCCATGCCCTAACCCTCGAAGGAACCTTAGGTGTTTTATAATATAGTTTAAACAATACAGTTATTACACATTACATATTGTCTACCATATGTATATATATATATGTGTACATATGATTGTTATTTTGATATGTTTATATACATAGTACCTATTTTCATACTATATATAAGAATTCTGAAGGCCTTCAGCTCCACGCGACGATATCTCGCGACAGCTGCCAGGGCTCTTTCCTCCTGAATCTCGGCCAAAGACTCCTGGGATCAGGGTTCAGGGTTTAGGATTCAAGTGCTTTTTCGGGGTTTAGGGCTCAGGGGTTTAAGGGTTTAGGTTTGTAGGGATCAGGGTCAAGGGTTTAGGATCTTCGGGATCAGGGTAGGGTTTATAGGGATCAGGGTTTCGGTTTTTCCCCGACAAGCGCAACAGGGTTTAAGGCTTAGAGGTCAGGGGGTCAGGGTTTACTGTAGGGTTGAAAGTATTACCTTAAAGATCAGGACAAACTGATAATCAGAATAGGGCTTTCGGTTATGTGGTGCTATGCTTGAGCAGAGACTACATATGGACTGCTAACACTGTTTATCCCAGCCCGTGGAGCGGATGGATCATGGCTCAGACTATGTTGTTTCGGGTTACCGTGTTTCGGGATGTAGCCCTCAGGGTGCAAGTATGTAGACAGTACATACGTACACCTCAACCTTCTCGAATAGAGAGGCCTCTGTTGCTAGTGCACATGATTACCCAAAGGCCCCAAAGTAGTTCCTTTTTGGGGTCCATATATATATATATATATATATATATATAGAGGTAATCCCCAAAAAGGAGCTACTTTGGGGCCTCTGGGTAGTGTTTGATCACTGCCACCCGTCTGATTGGCTTTTCATCAAGAGTTTCACGCTCCGGGGAGTGAGGAGTGTTGGTGCTTCCAGGCTTCATGGTGACTTTGGGTCGGGGTCGCACTTCTCTTGATCCCCACACAGTTTAGGGTTTAGGGTTTAGGGGTTTAGGGATTTAGGGTTTAGGGTTTAGGGAGCCAAATCAGCAACCGTACCGCCTAACAGACATGTTCATTCTATCGTTCTTCCTAGTCTTGACACTGACCGTTGCTGAGGAGGCGAAGGAACCTAACGAATAACGGTTGCTCAGCCAAGTAGTATGCTGTGGAACAACGAGAGACCGCAGCCGCAGTCTTTGTTCTCATGAAACCCGAAACCGCAAACACAAGACTGCACAAGTAGGCTGTCCATGCCAAGTTTTCAAGTTCAGCGCCAAGCCCTTTCGAAGACGATGGACCCTGACCCATCCATTACGGACTCCCCCAGCCCTAAACCCTAAAACCGCCCATAAATACAGGGGCCTTGAGCAGCAGAAGGGAGGCATATTGATTTTGAGGTTTAGGGCATCATGTAGTTATTCTATAGAAATCAAGGGACCCTTACGAAACCGTTCTCAAACTATTCAGGAAAATGTTGCGACCCACAACAGCCCACATGCGGCGTCGTCTGAACATGCCGAGCCACGGGCATCTCCACAGTGGCACCTGGGATTACAGGTTTACCCTTAACCACTAAACATCTAAACCCTAAACCCCTAAACCTCTAAACCCCTGAACCCTAAACTCCTAAACCTAAAGCCCTAAACCCCTAAGCCTGTAAAACCCTAAACCTCTACCCATAGGCCCCATAGTAGTTCCTTTTGGAGTTCATATTTAGAATCCTATAAGGTAATCCCAAAAAAGGAACTACTATGGTGCCTATGGGAAGTGTTTAGGGTTTCGGGTCCAGGGTTTACGGATTAGAGGTTCAAGAATCCACCAAGCCAGGTCCAGATCCGTTCCCGAAGGCTCCACGAATCGTGCACCTATACATTCACACATACACAAACGTATACATTATGTGCTTACGTATATACACATACATACAAAGTACATACACACATATATATAAAACAAACAAGCGAAAACCTACCTATTCACGTGCATGCCTGCGTGCATGCATACATACATACCTACTTACATACAGACACATACATATGCATGTGTAGTTACATGCGTACATACATGCATGCATGCATGCATACATACATGCATGCATACACACATGCACGCATTGCATCCACACATGAACCCATGCGTCATGCGTACATGCATCCGTGTAATAAACTGTGCAAAACATATACACACATAAATACATGCGTACGTACATGTGTTCCTTCAAGGGTTCAGGGTTTAGGGGTTCCTCTTTAAGTGTCCCTTTAAGGGTTGAGGGGTTACTCTAAGCCCTAAGGGCCCATGTACCCAAATGGTATTTTTGGCCTTAAAGTAGTCCCATGGTCACTTTACAGTAGTCCCTATGTCGGTACTTTGGGGCCAATGTGTATACTATTTGTGTGCATGGACCTTTTAGGGAATCCTCGGCCCTGAACCCCAGCTGTCTGGTCCTTAGTAGGGAATGGGGGAATGGGTTATGGGGACTACTGTTGGGGATTACAGAGGGACGACGACAGGGATCCATACCCCCATTGCCTACTACCCTAAAATTCCAGGTATCTCCTTAGGAGGGACGGAATGTCCTGGGGAGAGTCCTTGGGTTTCTTTGGGGTCTCAGAAACCCTCAATCTTGAGGTTCCCCCATGTGTTAGGACCCTTAGGGTAAGCACTAAGCACCAGACAGCCAAACCAGGGCAGCAGCGTTTACATGTTCGGCCCGAAGGCTTATAAAAGACGACGAAACCCGAGACGCTGCACGCTAAACACCGACACCAATGGTAGACTGTTGAATCACTATGCTGACACGCCCGAATCCCTAAAATCGAACATTTCGGGTTCAGGTTTCTTGCTTTTAGAGCTGAGGGTTTAGGGTTCAGCTTCGGGCTCCCTCTTTTAAGGCTTTCTCAAGCACGGCACTCACGTCAAGATCCAGCTCTGCCACGGCTGGCGCTGCCCGCCGCAGGGTTTTCGGAGTTGTAGAAGTCCTGGGTTAAGGCTTACGGATTAGCTACTAGAACCTACAGCTGTACATCCGAATACAGGTATATGTAGGGATCGTACCAAAAATAGTTCCGGGATTTAGAGTTGCGGGTTAGGGTTCAGGGTTTCGATGGTCGGTTTTTTTGGGAGTTTGACTCCCGGCTCTTTTTGCTTCTCGGCTTGGGGGGGCTCCGGGGTTTAGGACTCTGAAGGGTTTAGGGTCTAGGGTTTAGGGATTTAGGGTTTAGGGGTTTAGGGTTTAGGGTTTTAGGGTCTAGGGATTTAGGGTTTAGGGATTTAGGGTTTAGGGATTTAGGGTTTAGGGTTTAGGGATTTAGGGTTTAGGGATTTAGGGTTTAGGGGTGTAGGGTTTAAGAAAGTATTGACTGCTCTGTTGTCAGGCTTCGGTAAGGCGGTTTTTGGTTCAGGGTTGTAACGACTCACTGCTTCTGGGGTTGGGGTTCAGGGTAGGGTTCTGCTGTCGTTGTGTAGGGTTTAGGAAGGTGCATGATCAACCAGCCCCTGCAACAGGTACGCTCAACTCGAATCAAACCTAAATCGGAAACCCCAAACCGTAAAGACGAAACCCATAACCAAAAAGCTTCAAAGCCTACCCCAAGCACACGGCAGTTCCGAAATCCCATGCAACAAAACCTGAAACACCCCCAACCCTGAACCAAATCCTAAACCCTAAACCCTCAGCCCTAAACCCTAAACCCCAAACCCCACACGTCAATACCCTAAACCAGTCCCAGGTGCGAGGGCCCAAGCCAGGCAAGAACGGCCCCTCGCAGGGCAAGGAAGCCAAGCACCGCCCAGAGCCAAGTGCCTTGATGTGGCTTAGAGCTTAGGGACTAGGGCGCCTTTTAAAGGGATCTAAAAGGGTGCCTTTAAAGGGATCTATAAGGGCTCCTTTAAAGGGATGTATGAGGGTTCCTTTAAAGGGATCTATAAGGGCTCCTTTAAAGGGTATGAGGGTTCCTTTACAGGGATCTATAAGGGCTCCTTTAAAGGGATCCATAAGGCCTCCTTTAAGGGATCGATTACGGCTCCTTTGAATGGATCTATAGAGGCTTAGAGTTTAGGTTTATTTTTGCTTAGGGTTTAGGGTTTAGGCTTTCTTTGTATGAGGGAAGGGGCTCAGGGTGGGGTTTAGGGTTTAGGATTTCGGGTGGTTGGTGCAATGTGTAGGAATCTGCAAGATGGATTTGGGACTGGCGGGTTTCGAATCCCGAAGGGTCCAAGTACCTAACAGTCATATGCTCTCCCACATGTAACCTACATACCTACTATCCGCATCTAGAGTACCCTATTATTATTGGGTCCTTTGGACCGTTAGGGAATTGACGATTTTCGGTTTGTCATGATGATGATTTGAGGTGTAGGCGGTGAGATGTTCAAGTGAAAGGGGCCCGGAACGGGGGTTTCCGAAAATTAGGGGTACCTTACTTTGGGGGCCTTATAATAAGGATCCTACTGTTTAGGGTACTATATGAAGGTCCCCTATCTTCGGAAACTCCCGAATGTAGAATGCTTGAATCCTCAAAAAGATGACCCTTACCAATCCCACCCCGATAGCAAGAAGCTCTGATGCACAGTCGGGTTGCCGGGACCTAAGCACCTTCTTACTTGTGGCTTGTAGGGTTTGAATATTAAGAACCGATATTGTATATTATGATTTGTTAACTACTTCCCCATATCAACACCTATATAGGACCCCTTGTGTCAGGAATTATAACCACTGAGCAACTAAGCACTTGAGTTTGAGTACTTAGGCGCAGTTGGGCTTGCAAAGGTGATTAGTCGATTGGCTATTAATATCAGGGTTTTAGGGTCAAACAGGCTTCAAGCCTTCCAAACGCCTTAAACCGAAATACCCAAAGCCTAAACCTTGAAACCGGAACTCACACCCTAAACTCTAGCCCTAGACACCCGAATCCAACATACGTTACACAACTAAACTAAACCAAATGGCCCGAAACAGCAACACATTGTGGACTCAAACTCCTGAACACCCAAACCCAAAACAGCTGGAAGTCCGTATCCAACAATCAGAACAGATCGAAAGCTAAAGCTTACACTATACGCTAAAGGCCGTGGCCATATGCAAAAAGCGTCGAGCAACACAAAACAATATGTTCTGGGAGTCGTGTATACTGCAGTATACTAGTAGAGTATAGTATGGTACGGTTGGTCTAGAACGGTATAGCATGGTATCGTGTGGTATGCTACGGTATACTATGGCATGCTGCCGCATAGCGGTTTATAGTGCACCATTTTATCTTAACGGTATCTTGCCGTGTAATGTAGTATATTCTATTATTCTATATTGTATCACGGTATACCTTTGACATGTTACATAATGAAGTCTATCTACTAGTAGTTCATTTCAAGTTTATTGTAATTTGTATGTCCTAAACTTAACCAAGCCCAGATGGGCAGAGCCCAAGGGACTGGAGCGGTTCTTCAGCGGCGCCATGGCGTCGGAATGGGAAAAAGTGGCCGGCAAAGGACTGTTGGTGGAAAGGCGACAAAGATGCCCAAAAACTCTAGCAGGCTAGAGGAGCAAGAAGAATCAGACGAATATCAGATAGTGATGAGAACCAAGGAGGGTTCAGGGCGTGCAGTTCTGTATGGGTTCAAGCCATTGGCCCTTGCATTCAACCATCCGGATATTGCCCATTATTGCAACCCCAAGGCAACAAGAGGTTGAGACAAGCTTGACTCCAAAGATGTCTCAAGCTATCTCAAGCCCTCTGGAGACAAATGTGATCGGTCTCTTCCATGCCGGCAGCAGCGAAAGCTGGAGCCAGAGATTGTTGATGAAGCAGCTGAGCCCTTGTGCTTGTAGAACTTCAACATCCGCTATCTCTAGGTTCAAGCCTTTCAAACCTTGGTGTATTTAAGCTAGGTTTGAACAGAGTCGCACGAAACCAGTCCCGAACCTGCGTCCCTAGATGCCCTAGATCATGTCACATCATGAACTATGCATCATCGGTCCCATTAAGGAAGATCTGAACAGCATGTGGAGACAATCTCTGCACCCTAGGTGGCGCAATCCAAAGCGCTCTCCGACCGAACACTAGCACGGTCCATGCATCAGTGCATAGAGCAGAGTTTGGCATCACGGGGGCTCGTATGTAGGTACTAGTAAATGAGACGCTTTCGACCCTGCAGGGAAACATGTCCCTAAACGACTTGATCGCCAAGCTTAACCCTAAGGGTCCACATGTACTACCATGATGGAAATAGGTCCAAAAACGACCATCCATATTATGGCTTTGGGGACCCAATCCCATAAATTGTAGTATATATGGACCCTCCGGGTAACACCTCAGATGCGGCTCACAGCCGTCCTTCCCCGGCGCAAGCGAACCGAATTGCTCTACACCTGTATCCTCAAACTCCACTCTCCATGAATATACAGTAACACCCGGAAAACACATACAATCTTGGGTCCGCAGGCTTGGAGGGAGATCCGGCGAACGGAGAGGCCGAGTAAATGATGCGAACAAGGTTTCGGGATACTTATAGGCCAGTTTTCTACGGGGGTCGCATTGCAAAGAATCAGCAGTAAAGCTAACCTTCAGACCCTCCATGTTCGGTGGAAGCAGTGGGGTTCAGGCTCTCTTTGGCTGTCGTTACACTCTACATATCGGGTTTGATTCAAAATCTCGGAAATTGGAGAACTTACTACACCATGAACGAAATTTCACAAATCCTAACGTCCTGAATCCTGAACACCTACTTGCTTAAGGCACTTCTGGCAGCCGATGTCGAAGGCTCATGGGCAAAGGAGCAGGCAATAGTGCGGCTGGGGAGCTTGGGTTTAGGGCTTAGGGTTTCTCTTAAGCTACCAAAACCTAATTTTTGTAGGGTCCCTATAAATTCCATATTAAGGTTCATAATAGGAACCTACAAAAATGTCGGTTATGGTAGCTTAAGGTAGGGTTTAGGGCGTAGGGTTCGGGTTTAGGATTTTGGGTTGGGGACTTGGGGTTTAGGGCTTAGGGCTTGGGGCTTTCAGTGTGGGCTTAGAAGTTCAAAAAACAGCACAGAAAGCTGTAATGAACAACACGCCTGCTAGAAATGTGCTACGCTCACCTTCTGTCCAACCCTAAGGCTCAAAATAGCCTAAAAGCCTTACATAGTATGGTCTCTGGGCCCAAAAGCCTTAAATATGAGTCCTTACAGCCTAAGCGTAAACGACACTGGCCTGCCCGGCCGCAAGGGCGGACTGCATCTGCTCACCTAGCATCACAGGGCTAGCTGCCTACTGTTGGGGCCTTAATAATTAGAATGGGTTTTGGGGCCCATTATACATATAGTTATAGTAAGGAACCCACACAATATTATAGGTAGTTATTTAGGCCCCCAGATTAGCATCGCAGGGCTAGCTGCCTAACACTGTCTAACCAGCACCCTTGTATACCAAGCCCAAGTAACCGACCTTTTTAAGGACTTATATAAAGAAACCATATAATATTAGGGAACCCTAAAAAGGCAGGTTCCTTAGGGTCCAGGTGGGGCTTTCGTAAACATCATGTGACAATCTGACAATGAGAAGATCATAACAAGTGGGGATTACCAAGGCATCGGCTCTGAATGACCTCCTGTGAAGGGTTCGGAACACCCTGGTAAACTGCGTTTCCCTACATCCTGAACCCCAAACCGAATTTCACTGTTTGAGGTGTTGACGGATTTAGGAATATACTGGGTTGGCCTTTAGACACCCTGAAAAATATTTATATATAGGGTCCCTTCTAAACCCAAATAAGGGAAATAAAAAATGTCCCAAAATCCAACCTAGTATAGGATTTAGTAGGGTATGCATTCAAAACCTTGGCCTGCTCCCTGAGCAACCGAAGCACTGCCGAAGCCGACGCTTGACGACTGCATGTCCCTATCCTCAACCTCTCTCGGTTTAGGGTTCAAAGTTTAGGGTTTAGGGTTTTAGGGTTTAGGGTTTTAGAGGTTAGGGTTTTAGGGTTTAGGGTTTTAGGGTTTAGGGTTTAGGGGTGTAGTTAGAGCTACATGGAATGAGCTGAGTTTAACGGAACATTCGTAGCAATGTGCCGTAGGCGGAGCCTGGACCGCGCCCTTTCACACGCGTGGCTTTCGGGCTTTTGAGTTTAGCGGTTTTGGGTGTTCTTCGGGGCTTGGAGTTTGGCTGTGTGGTTTTTGCAACCGCCAAGGATGTATAATGAGGACCCTATCAGCATGCCCTCCTACCAGCATGCCCGTTCCCTGAGGCCCAGAAAACCCACTTATGAGCTCTACTTCCCAGCCTGGCATTGTATCCAACCAAGACCCCATACCAAATAACAAACGCGGTACTGTAGTTAAGGTGTAGGGTTTGGAGGTTGGAGACACTATGCCAGGCCACTGCTGAGCATCTGCTGCATCTGCTCGCTGTTGTAGAGCTCCTGCAGCTTGCAGCACTCTCTACAACAACATATCATAGAGCATACACTCCATTGCTGAAGCCTACTGCGGGCACCTCTTCACCGACGTCTAGTCGGTTACGGCTAAGCGCTGCTGGACTAACCAAGGCGATGAGTGTTAGATGCCTGAATTCTTACACAGGATATCCCAAACAATGGATGCCAAATTAATTTCAACCCCCCCGGCGTAGCGCTCCGAGAGTTGGCACGCAGCTGAGGGAGCTGAAGGTACTGAGTGGTGAACTCGTCTGATTCCCTATTGACCAAGAAGCCCGCCCACAAACAACGGCCCCAACCCTCAAATCACAATGCCCAAAAGCCCCTCATTCTCCATGCCTAAACGGTCATAAAAACCCTAATCCAATAAGCACCTAGACCTGATCACTTGACTCCAAGATCCCTGAAGAAAGGATCTCGCTTGCAGGAACCCTGAGTTCGGGGTCTAGGGTTTAAGGGTTTAGGCTTTGGGGTTAGTTGCATGCTCTGGGTTTAGGGTCCAGGTGTTTAGGGTTTTGGGTTAGTTGAAGGCTTAGGGCTTCGGCTTCGGGGTTAGTTAAGGGTTCAGAGTCTAGCGTGATCCTGTGATCCATGTATGTAGTTTTAAAAAATAAGGTTCCCTTTTGGATACCCTAAATTTAGATATTAGGTGCCGTACTATAATAGGGACCCCAAAAAGGGACCCTAATTTTCACAACCCCCCATGTGTGTCAAGGTGGGTTGAAGAATCATCCTCATGGTCTGGCCCCGAACCCCGAACCCGGGAACTGAAATCTCAACCCCTAAACCCTAAACCCTACAGTAGAAGCCAGAAAGTTGGAATATCATTATCGTAACCCCTTTAAGGAAGATTATAGGGGATCCTGCCATTAATCCATGTTCCAACTTTCTGGAGTTCCCTTTAAACCCAAACCCTAAACCCTAAACCCTAAACCGCCCCTAAAGGCCCTGCACCCTGAACTAGGCCCTGGGATCTAAACCTGAAGCCCGAAACACTCAAACTTTCGCCCCAAACACTTTGAAATCACACTTAGGGTTTACCTTAACCCCAAGTAACCTACCCCTTTTTAAGGACTTATATAAAGAAATCATATTAGGGAACCCTTAAAAGGTAGGTTCCGTAGGGTCCAGGTAGGCTTTAGGGTTTAGGGGATTAATGGTGTAGGGTTTACCCGCAGAGTCCGAACAAAAATTCGGAGCCGCACCTGGCTTCCCTGCTGCGCCGCCTGCGCCGCGCGCTTGGCGGCGTCCTTCACCCAGTCCTGTCTCTCCAAGGGTAAAAGGAGGGACCCTTAATAAGGACCCCTAAGTATATACCCTTAATATAGCTATTATGTACCCATTATATAGCTCCATTATAGGGTAGGGGTCCTTATTAAGGATCCCTCCTTTTTTGCTTTGATGTCTCGGATCGGAGGCTCCCAACTCTGGGGTTTAGGGGCTTAGGGTTTAGGGTTCAGGGTATAGGGGTTTAGGGGTTTAGGGTTCAGGGGTTTAGGGACTTAGGGTTTAGGGGTTTAGGAGTTTAGGGGTTCAGGAGTTTAGGGGTTTAGGGGTTTAGGGTTAAGTTAAGAATTAAGAATGGGTGTCAACTCGCATTCATCCCTTAACTACAGGTCCAATTTCCTGAGAAACTAAAGGTTAACCTTGGGGATTATATTGGGGTTTAGGGATTGTAGTACCCCATAACGGTTGAAGGTAACCCACTTTACAACAAGGCTATAATCAGGAGCAAGGGTTCAGAGGCCCGAAGCATGTGAATCGTTTCGACAGATTGGTGCTGAATTCGAACATCTATAGTACCTGCTATGGGTTGTTTGGAGTGTAGGGGTACAGAGACAGAACCCTGAACCTCAAAGCATAAAAACCGGAAATCCTAAAGCAAGACTATCTTTCAGGGCAGCGGTTTCGCGAAGAAGGCAACTGTTTAACTTCAACTTGAAGTGTAGGGCTTGGGGGTTTAGGGTTTAGGGTGAGATCCGCAAAGCCTAGATACCTTGAACTCTACTCCCCATTCTCGGACTCGCAATGGAAGCAA